TAGACAAAAATAAAGATTGTTTACTGTTTACTAGGGTACTTTTAATACTTTAGAATGCTACTCTTTGATTTTTTATTGTGCGCGTTTTTCATTGCCTTTTTGGTATATATATATATCTTACACCTTGACTTGTTTCACAGTTTTATCACTCCAACGCAAAGAATATTTTTAAAATAAGTTTTTATAAAATAACTATTTTAGAGGCGAAATACGAGAGAACTATAACGTGCTCTTGGTAGGACACAAACCCACAGTCTTGGTATACTTGTATGATGTGTTAACCACTGTCCCACAAGGATCGACCACACAGCTATCACAGTGTTCGTGTGGTAAGTGTGTGGCTGTCTCGAGATATTTTCTTCACTTTATTCATGTCACATCCAAACATTGTATTATTATAAAGCTTGGAATAATGGTCAACAAAGAGAAATTGACCTCTGAATATTTTACGTCATGTACCGCATACGCCGAGTGCATTGTAGGATACGTTTGGGACACAAGATGGATGATTTTTTGTTCTTCAGAAACTGATCCCAAAAATGCATTGCAAATCACGGAGTGACATGAAAGTTTCAAAGGTCTATTGGCCGATAAAAAAAGGAAAAGGGGACTGAGTCCAAGTGATTCTAGAAAATCTAGCCCCATCATATTGCGAAAGAACAGAATAAAAAAGGCTGACCAATTTTCATGATGTTTGAATTTATAGCAACAAAGTCATGGTCATTGAAAACATCCCAAAACTACAATAAAATGTATGGTGTGCAGCCAAAAATATATATTCTTTGCAATTCTAAAATATTGTCATTTAATTTTGTGATTTTATGCCTATTAAATCAAGAAAAAAGAAATACTTGCTCAAATTGTCAACATTAGCTATTTTCTATCTCATGGCATGGTTTATCTCAGGAGCCCATTACTAGTCCTGCTTATCTGTAAATTCCATCATATTTGAGAAAATCTGTCCCATTTCCCAGCTCATTTTGTTATCGGCGAATTGAATGTCAACATAACAAAGAAACTCAATGTAATGACTCAGTTTGTTGTAGATGAAAGATTCAAAGGTAGTTGTGGTGACGTAACCCCCACCTTCAAAGGGCCTACAACATAGCAAGCAATCATGACTTACTCATCTAGCATGTATAATGCCTGTATTATGCTGTTCATGTAACATGTATTGCCAAGGTTCACAAGTCCAGTTCGTCCTGTTTCTGATTTGGGAGTCACTCTAGCTAAGTTCATGTGAATGGCTTGAGCTGCCCATGCTGTTTGTGTCAGCCATTTCTTGATCATTGCTTCTGATGGTTTATGAAAGTCCTGACAAAAAAAATGAATATGCAATTTATTAAAGAAATACTGATAAAGTATGATCACTGTTGCATACAGTCTTAGAGGAAGAAAGATATATGGCACTTTTGTGCAACAGCTAGGTTGCAGRGGAACTATGAAGATTTTTACATGCAATGCCATTACTYGACATGCAAAATTTTAGGACCAAATTGTGTGACCATGCTGTGCTGTGTGCTGTGCTATTACATAGTTATATCACATATGTTATATCATTAAGTATTCTCCTTCATGGTTCCCTTCAACATATTGAAATGTAACCTGTACATTTCCAGTGAAGAGAGAAAACCCATCTTTGCACCGATAGGTAAATATTCACAAGTGTCTATCCTTGCATGTGGTGCCATTGTTTTTCTGCAATGCAGAGCCATGGTTTCAAGGTGGCTCAGAGAACCATGAAGAAGACTAATCAAAGAAGCTTGGAGAAGATTTTTGCTCTTTTGGACCTTATTACATGTAAGTAAAATCCATTACTTTTACTAACAGTTGTAGTCCTGTTAATGAGCTGCAAGAGGCCTATAAAGTAAAGATTTACAAGATGGATACCTGTAGACAATCCAAGACTGGTCCATACAATTCAGGGAAACCTGAGTGTCGATACATTAAACAGTGAACCAGTTCAGTTAATGTCTGAAGACAAGACTGTGAAGAAACACTGTCCTCTTTCTTGAGRGTCTTCACCAGGTCAGGCACATGTTCCACAATCTAAAAACATTTTAAAAACATGGTAATATTTAGAAGGAAATGATTTAAAAGAATAAGAAAAGCYATGAATAAAGCTGAAATAATAGAATAAAAAAATAAAATGAAGTGAGAAAAAAATATATGAAAGGGTGAAGAAGGAAGACCGTAGTAGTAAAAAGGGGGAARTTGGGATAGGTAAGGAATTGAAACAAAAGGAAAATAAATGGAAAAAGGAAGCATGGAGAAGAAGGATTCAGGAAGGGAAAAGGAAGAATGAATGAAGGACAAGATGAGGAAGGAAAGAGTGYAGTGAAGAATTAAGCAAAGAGAGAGAGGGAAACGGAAGAGAGTAGGGAGAAATGAAATAAGGGAAAAGTACAGAAAGAAGAAAAGGAAAGGAGGAAAGAGATAAAGCAAAGACTCAAGGAAGAATGTAAAAGGCAGCACAACAATGGACYGATCAAAAATGTATGAAAAAAAGAAAATGAAAAAAAGATGAGTGAGYTAAGTAAGAACAAGCCAAATGAATGAATGGAGGGATATGTATCTTGTATTAAGAAAGGCTGGCTTACCAGATGGAATGCCTGTGGCGAGTGCTGGAAACTTAGTAGCATATGTGATAACACAGCCATTGTACTCTCTCTGACCATTGGAAACAACAAACGACTGAAAACCTGAAATAAGAAGGCATGCCAGATGTTGAATGTGTGAACCATCAAAGTTCCTATAATGTATCATTTGAAAGGAGGTCCAGTTTCATCCTTTTCACTTCCACTATTTTTTTATTTTCTTTTTTCTATTCTTTTCCTTTCATACTGCTCACAGTACAAGTGCCATTCAAAAGGGCCATGGGTGGTGATAGGCTGTGGCAGCCTTGCTTCTGTGCTGGGAAATAAGCAGTTCAAAATATTTTTAAACAACATTGGTCATTGAAAATTCTTGATTGCTTTGTAACAACACAATGGTGTAATGAGATTCAGATCAACACAAACTACGTCATCGTTGGCACACAATCTCTTACAACTAATTCCTGACTGAAAAAGGAAAAGAAGTGTATGTGGAGGAAACCCCTTGAAAGAAACAAAGCCCACAGACTCAAATCACATTGAGTCCTGGACTGGAAATTGAACTGGGACGAAGTTTTATAACTACTCAGCCATCCTTGCTCCCATATAGGCAAGACATTAAATTACCCTTTTTTGATCAGAATGGACTATGACAGCAGGGGTTAGTAAATGTATTTTATAGATAAAGGTATTACTGTATCAACATACACTATGCAATGAAACAAAAATAATACTGATGAAATTTGTAAAAATTATGAAAACTACAATGACAACAATGTCAAATCAAAGAAGCTGTAATATAAATTCTCAGGCATGAATTAAGGCGTACTTTATGAAATTTTGTCATTAGTTTACATTAAGTACTATCTATTACTATTTCTTTGAACTTTTAATGTATGACTGTTGTTGGTCTTACTCAATACAGCCTTATCATATCATAAAATAGCACAGCAGTCAAACTGATGTTTTGACTATTCTTATAATATATTGTCATCAAAATTATGACAATCAATCTTAGAGAAATTATTGCTTAGACATTTTAATTTCCAGCTTCACAGAAGTGCACTTTTCAAGGATATTTTCATACAGGAACTTGGATAAAACACTTTACAGTTTATCAACAAAAAATCTCCATTTCAATCACTTTTTGTAGTAGCCATTATATGGAAGGTATGGTATGCAGGGCTTGAAATAAGCCAGACATAGGCAGGACAAGATGTCCTTCCAAATTCATTTTTGGAAAGTCATGTCGAGTTTTGAAAGGACAAAAACTTTATTATACTATTATTTTCTTTTAATTCATAGGTTTTTGTATTCAGAAAGATCTGCAAGCAATTTAATGGCTTGTAAAAGATTTATTTAACAAATTGGGAATTGATTGTTTTTTTATTTGTCTAAAAATGTGGAAGGTCAATTTGTCCTTTCAAAACCCGATTTGGCCGGTCATCTAGCAAAATTGGAAGGACATTGTATGACAAACAAAGTAATGCATTTTAGGAGAAGTACACCAGATTAAAGTGAAGAGTTTAAGATTGGAAAACTGTAAACAAGGATCCAATAATGTGAATCAATTTATTATTTTACAAACACTTTAGTTTTATATTATGAAAGTTTTTAAAGTGCACCTAATCCCTGAAAAATGACATCATTTCCCTAAAATTAGGGACGTTTCTAAGAGCTTTGGCAAAAAAATGACTCCATTTCATTCAATTCCTAACTTGTGGCAAATGTTTTAAGTTGGATTTTGGATGGACAGCCTTGAAAGAAGTATGGAAACAAGTGTGATGTCAACCCACACAATAAGACAATACCTTCTCTGATGTTTGGTGTGTTGTTTCAACCTTAAACAACACATCGATTTGGCATTTTTAACTCAAAAATCTATAAAAAATCTACTACCAACAGTACCAACATGAGGGTTTTGCAGTATCGTCACAAGTCACTTGATACTGTAGAATTGCTTGTCCATTYCAGGGAGCTTGAAATACTTTTTCTTGCATGTTTAAAAATTTGTAAAAAATTGGGATTTCAATAAAATCGTGTCATTTTTTCGCCAAAGTTCTAGAAACCTCCCTAATTTTAGAAAAAAAGTCATTTTTCAGGGGTTAGGTGAACTTTAAGTGAAATCTGCAAATTATGACTGACGTGATTGGATGGGCATAAATAAAAAAGCAAAGATTAAAGGCAGTGTATTTTGACTCCTTCAAGAAATAAAAGGTGTCAAAAACAATTAGTTGACACCAGCTGTCTGCCCACCCACAAACTTGATCACATTAGCATGAATTTTGTACAGTATTACCTATATGATGCCAAATACCAGCTTATTATCTTTTTATAAATTTGGTCTTCATAGTAAATCAAAAACAAAAATCACTATTGATTATATAAGATAATAGTTTGTTTTAAAACAAGGAAAAAAATATTAAGTAACAGAAATTCAAAAACAAAAATATATCATATCAAGTGATGGTATGAAGTGTGTAACACTTGTTCTGTATCATAATATTCTATAATCCTTATAATCCTAGAGTCAGCTTTTTGAGATGAATTGTAAAGAGAAAACGAAAAAATGAATGAAAATAAAGAAATGAAACGAAAAAATAAAGTTCATATATTTTCCGTTTTATTAAATTAGTATAGATGGGTTGAAGAAACAATGYGATRCCATAGAATTCCAACAAACTTGGACCTGTAACCACTAAGGTCAACCACAACCTCGACAAACCAACAAATCGTCATGCACCTACCTGAGGAAGTTTCTCCAATGTTACTTGTATTAATATAGAATGCTTTCCCGCTATGGCTAATGCCCTTAAAAAGCATATTATCCATTGGTCGACTCGCTTGCCGCCTGGCCATGAAAGCCAGCTAATCATACGAGACAGAGCTAATGAAAGATTATCATCTGACACCGTAGGACTCCTCGCTACCATATTAGTTGCTGTATCGATAACTTCAGGGGAAAAAAATTGTGCGATTGAACCCAGAGCAACAGAGGGATTAGGTCCTGGGGCTGAAATAATCTTGAATAACTCCGTTAAAACGGTAAAAATAAAATTCTGATTCTTGGTCCATATACGGTTGAGCAAAGCTGCTATCGTACCGGCATTTCGGATACAGCTTTTGAGCTCCTGTTTTGAGGATTTGGGAAGTTCTGTTTTGCTCAAGCAGTTGACCAAAGCGAAGCATGTCTGAATTAAATGGTCTCCTACAGGCCAGCAATGGTTGTAATCAATCAGTAGGCGACACACAGCAGCACTGAAGTCAATGTCTGCTTTAATATTGATCCATGAAGTAGCACGATGGCGAATAATTGTGTAGAGAGAAAAAATTTGTGGAGTGTGTTGTAGTAAATCAAATGCAGTCCTCACGTAGTTCACCGACCCGATCGTCAATTTGTCAGCGTCATCTAGAAAACGCACCAAATAATCCTCTGTAAAAAATCTTTGAAAGACATCTCTATGGTGTTTTCCCCAAGAAGAGAGAACAAGTTTTCCGCTGTCACTGAGAAACTCTGAATTTCCATCAGACATCCATAGTGAGCTCATCTCGAAAATAGACACACATTGTTCTTCCGGGATTTCGTTGGCTGCCTTAGAAACAAGCTGTTGAATTAATGATTTTTTGACGGATTCGGGATGGTCCGACGCAACTATTCCCTTTAGTATCTGGTCCATATTTCAACAGAATGTCTCAAAACCTTGAGCTTTTTCTCGCCGACAAAAACATGAAGTTTGTTAGGGTCTGACTATAACGCGGGCGGAGATGGTACACAAAATTTTTGAGCAGAGACTGGAATCTAGAGTGACAATGACTTCCGGTCTTGACATGACAGATAAGGTAGTAACACAATAATTCCGTGACAGTGGATTAGAACTAAAGTGACTTAGTTATTTATTCTTTCTCGTACGTTTTTATTTGATTTTTTCAGGTGACTTCAGTAAAAAATAAAATCAAACAGTTTCATCTTTATAAAACTCGAAAATTGTGAACGATTAGTGCCGTTCAAAATGCATTCCTTTGTATACACTTGATGTAATTAGTGAGATAGTAATCTGCTTTCGCGGGAAAATGTAGTTGCGAAATAAATACTCCTTGGTGTAATGCGACGATGTCAGACGACAACAATTTCCTCGGTTGTGATCAGTCAAAACCATTACTTAACGAAGAAATCGCTTACCTAAAAGAAAATCTAAAGGAAGTCAACGTAGTTGAGAACTACTGTACCGGTGTTTTTACTGGGAGTTCAAAAGAATTTGAGGATTTTTTGGATAACCTACAGCTGATAACRTCCACAAGTTTCACCCATTACGAAATCAAATCCAAAGAGAAAGGACATAAACGGTTGTCACAAGAAGGTATGTCATCATTTGAGTTATTGAAAACTATAAAAATGTAGTTGCGCTAGTGTCTGTTAACAATGTTTTGAAACACCTTTAGTCTTGATTATCACAATGTGTCGACTACCTACCCAGGGGGTGGGGGGTAGTAGTATTAGGCAAATCACAAAAAATATTGGGCACAACCTGAAAAGAAGAAAAAAATAGCATGTGTCCTGTAGAGTTTTCCAGCTATACGCAGCTTCTTTTTTACACTCTTTATTTCTTGACGTTGACGCACTATCTGAATCTTTTAGTTTGCCAGGATATGAAACCTTCTACATCTGCTATATATCGATACTAATACAAATACCGTTGCCTACTTGCTTGTTGACAGCTTGGGCTTGGCTTTCTGTTGTTACATGTATCTACTTTAACTATTAAAATGTTATGTCAAAACGCAAAGACTGTAGAAAAAAGTTCTCTCTGATATCATGTACACATCAAAAGTCCTAGAGAAAGTGAATATCCGGCATGTTCTAATAAAGTATCCTGAGAGGAAAAGTTACTTTRAGCGGTGAAAAAGTTAAAAAGTTACTAATAGTGCTTTTGTATGACGTCATTGATTTATCGAATGGAAGTGTATTAAATCCAACATTAATGTGACTGTTATTAATTATTTTATAATATTAGCTTCGCCAGTATTTGAGGATAAGAGAGGTCACATTCCTATAGCATCGTTTGGCCATCCTTTTATAATAATCAGCAATGAAACCAGGCAATGTTTTCATGGACCTGTTAAGGTAAGTGATCAGCTTATTCCATACATTTTAATAATAATAA